TTTATTATAAACAAAATAAAATTTTGAAAAAATAGAGAAAAGTTTTAATTTAGATTAAATCAAAGCTGATAATTGCGCGAATACAGCAATTTACTAACAATAGCAACAATGAAATTTATCATTTTATTTAAATTACTCTCAGAAATGTTGAATAAGTTTTTTTTTTCTCGTTCTTTGGAATGCATTACTAATAGCTTGTTTTTGTTTGCTGCGAATTTATACACTGTAAGAATTACATTTCAACTGCAAAGTTCCAATTTAATTACTGAAATTTTCACTAAAGTGATGTCATTTTTACAAATTAAATAAAATATACACGAAACATTTTGTTGATTTTGAGAATTTTGGAATTATTCAACAGATAATATTCATTTCTGCAATGAAAATATTTAAAAACTGCTGCAAAAAATAAAAAAGAAAAGTGAAATGGATGAGAAAAAAAAAAGTTGTATTTTTATATTATTTACAATACTTGGAATTATTAATATATACAAGACTGTAAAACAACATGAGTCAATATATCATTTGCAAAAATGAGTAAAATTATCGAATTACAGCTTCTCATAATTTTTCATAATAATATAAAAAAAATTGAATCGAAAGCTTTTCATAATAATATAATTGAAATGATGTAATTATTACAAGTTTTGCAAGTTTGAATTACAAGTTTTGAATTTTATCTTAAAAATAATAAAAAATAACTTTATAAACTTTGCAATGAGGATTCTCGAATGATTATTTACTTCACGAAATGCAAAGCATATTTGTTTTGTTATCCTCTTTTTTTGTTATTGTTGTTTTGCAAATAAAACGAAAGAATTAAAACGAAAAATTTTTACATCATTTTCTGTTTTTGATCAAAATATAAAATTTGCAAAATTTAAAATCTATTCAAGATGCATTACATTTCTGTTATCAGATGTAACTGTTTTAATGAAATTATGGATATGCTACGTTTACAGCAAACTTTACAAACATTTTTGTCCAAAAAAAAATTTTTATATTTTGATTTAAAATTTTAAATTTTATGGATATGTTATTTAAATTTTATGAAATTTTTTAAAATTTATTAATGATAATATTGAAAAATGGTGCAGCAGAAACGGTGATGCTAAGAATATCACAAATTATGATTTTAAATATTTGTCATTAATGTTTATTCAGTGAAAATTGAAAATTCATTTCGGTATGAAACAATAATTGTTTGTAAATTTGATGTTTGTTAATGTTATTATAATGATCATCGGTAATAAATGAATATTACATTGCAGGATAACGAAATGAAATTTTGCATTTTATAAAAAGTAAAAGAAGGAAAAGAGAGGAAAAAAGCGAATGAAAATTATTTAGTAGTAGTAGTAGTAATGATTGTAGATTGAAATTGTATTTTTGAATGTCTAAAATTTTTTTAGTTTTGCTATATATTTTTTTCTTTTCCTTTTTTCTTCACTCTCCTTTTTTTTTCCAATAAAATTTATTTTTAGCGACTTTACATGCAAACATATCTCTAATTTAGAAATCACTACAGAACAACATTCTTTATTTTCTCCTCCTCTCTCTTCTTCCCTTTTTCTTTCTCTTTCTTTCTCTCTCTCTTTTTCTCTCTTTTCTTTTTTTACCCAAAAATTTCATTATTTAGTGCTTTAAGAATTCGTTTTTTCCTCATCTCAAACAGCCATTACCATTAATTGCATCATTTATTGCTGTTGCTATTCATCAACCAAAATTGTTTAGAAATTTACTTTTTTTTTTTGTTCTTTTTTGCTATTAGCAATATTATTTTCATTTCGAAATTTTAAAATCTTTATTTCATTGTAATTAAAGATAAAAATAAAATGATTAGTAATAATATCGCAAAATTGTTTGCACAGTTTGCTTAATTAAGTAAAAGCTATATGAATAATAGCTCATTGAAAAATATTTGTAAAAGAAAAATGGAAGGAAGGATGCGAAATTGCTAAATCTTTTTAAAATTGCACAAAAATTTCTTCTCAGCAACAAATTGATAAATTATCATTCATATTATAATGCATTATTGATTACTTCATTCAATATCATTTTTCAGATTATCTATGTTCATTTGTTGATAATATTCATCTCTCAATGTAATTAGTATTTTTTATTGATTAATTTATTGCAAAATTAGCAACAAATAGTATATGTATATTTTTGTAAAAAATTTCATAAAAACAAGTATACAGTAAAATGTATTAAAATTTTTTAAAATTAATCGGTAATGGTTATTTTTGATGGAAATTTTTATTTTTCATCAATGTTATTATCATTATTATATACAATAAGATGACTTAAACAAAAAATTTAAGAAATCCTTAAAATTTAATCAAATCAAATACATTTTTAAAGTTAACTAAAAATCCAAAATATTTATTTAAGTGAAAATCAAATTTTCAAAATTATCATTTTTGCTCATTGTTATATTGTATCATATCATATCACATCAGTTGCCCGCCGTATATCTATTCCCTTTTTTTTCACTCTGAGCTGATATGAGATCATTTCAGATAGTAATCAATGCTATCAGTGCATTATTAACCATACTTGAAAAAAAAAATGGTAAGATAAAGGATAAAAAGATAGGATGGGAAAGATGAAAAAACTAAAAATGGTAAAGATAATGAAAAGAAAAAAAATTCTCGGGGAAATCGGGTCGAGGTTTGTTTGTTTTTTTTTTTCCATTTTCTGGATACAAGAAAGTACAGCTGAATAATTTTACTTTTTCTTAACATTCCATCCAAATGTTATGCATGAAATTTGTGATAATACAACATTTACAATATTTCCCACAAAACTGATTTTATCTCTCTCTCTTTTTTAATGATTTTTTTTTAATATGTTTGGAAATAGAACGCTTATCAGATAAGCATATATTGTTATTACATTATTTTACAATGTAATACAATCTAATAGTATGATTGTTTTTTTTTTTCTTTTTTTTTCAGAATCATTAATTCATCTATTCATACACACTTTTTATATTTTGCATAAACTGTCACCATCTTTGCCTTTTTTTTTTATAAGACAATTTTACATAAGTCTCTAGAAATTTGTCTACATTTTCATATTTTTTCTGTATTATATGAATTATTTCTGGAGAATATGCAATATGTTAAATTTTATATAAATTATTCTTTATCAAAATTACAATCCTAAATTTTTTTATTCCCTAAAGTTTGTTATTCATATATTTCTTATATATTTCTCATTCAGATTACAAAAATTACGAACGATTTATATAAAAATAATTTTTGAGAATACAATTTAAGGATAAATGCAAATAATATTTCATTGAATACAACAAACTTAGGGATGAATAAAAAAAAAAACAAATTTCACACAATTAAATTTATGAAATCTATTTAAATTTCAATGAATCCAATTAAATTTTCTTCCATTTTTCTCCATTCCCTTCCCTCTTAAAGTATTTAATCCTTGCAGTATTATTAAGTTAATTATTGATCATATAGATAATTAGCTACATTTGTTTAAAATAAATTTTTACCAATCGATAAATAAGTGAAAATGATAAGCTTAAATCATTTGTAACATTTACCAATCTTTAATTTACTTTTGTTTACTGAAATTTCCAACAACAGTAACAATCCCGAGTCTAACATCCTCCCTCTTCTTGCCTTTCTCTTCTTCCTTTCAATACCATCCCCATTAAACAATCCATCAACAATTGACGATGACAATGATCGTTCAAACCGCTCCCTGTCACATTCACTGTGTCACACAAATATGGACACACGCACACAAACATCCCCTTCATCGTCATTATCATCATTATTGTCATCATCATTATCGTCATCATTATCATCATCATCATCATCATCATCATCATCATCATCATCATCACCATTATCCTTACCATTATCTTCATCTTCATCTTCATCATCATACAAATGATATTGTTTCTCAGCTACAAATCAGAATTGCACAGCTGTACCACTTCCTCATCCATAAAGCTTAAGCTTAAGAAGCCTTGTCAACCCATTCTTTCCTATCACTTTACTATTTAACTTACTGATTCATTCATTTACTCTTTAACTTATTGATTCATTTGTTTTATTATTATTATTGAATTTTTATTCTTTTATGTTTCATCAAACAATTGTCAATTAGAAAAATGTATTCTATCATTTAATTTTTACTTTTAATTTTATTTTTATTTCCCAATACATCATACATAAATATTACCGTTATCGTTAACTATTATTTTTGTTAACATCTCTATTTTTCTTCGATTTTCATTTTTTTTGTTTCTTTTCTTTTTTTTTTAAGAACTATAAAAATTTGATAAGAATTTTCGACTAAGTTTGAAACTAAAAGTTTTTTGAATATTTTATAATTGTAATATATTCTATCAAACTGATACGAATGGTCTATCTGTGAGATATATTTGCTCGCACATGTATACACGAAAAGTGTATTTCATTTTTGTAATTCACTCGTCAAATAACCTTCAAATGTTGTAATGTTTGTGGTTTTCATTTTTTGATCACAATATCTACAATTTTCATGCAAATTACAAAACGATTCATTAAATTCCAAAAAATATCGAAAACATATCCATTTTTTTTTCCTCCTTCTTTCTCTCTACCTCTCTAATTATAAATTTTTTTTTTCATGTCACCTAAGACAAGACATTGATTCAAGAAGAAAAATTAATCCCTGTTTCGATAATTAATTAATTATTAAACTACAGGTGAGAAAATTTGAATATCCATCAACATTTAATGAACTATAATAAGCTGCTGAAGAAGGATTGCCAATCAAAATGGGTAATATTTCCCCAATTGTCCTTCTTAACCTCCGTTTACCCTTTCCTTCTTCTTTCTTCTCTTTTGTTGCTCATTTTCGATATCGAATCATTCTGCACTTTCTTCATTTCCACTATTATCAAAAATGATAATAATATTTTTATCCTCTCAATGATTCAATACTTCCTGCTGTAAATTTTCCTTTTCTAATCTTGCTACAACATCTTGATTCTTGGTCCTCTTTTCTTTCACTTTCCTTTTCTCTCTCATTCTCTCTATCTCTCCTCCTCAGATTTGGATTGCACAGAATTTCGATAATTTAAGTTAAAATAATTTTCCTTTAATTTTATCTCCATGGATAGCATTAACATAAAGAAGATATGATGAATATGTATATGTGTGTATGT